GCGTTTCACAACCCCAAAGATATGGTGTTGTTTGTAGTCTGTTTTTAAGAAAAACAAGGATTTAACACGTTACATGTGTGTATTTATAGGCCATATCACCCAGCTCCACCACAAAGGAAATGAAATCATAGTGAGCATCTTCAGAGACCTTTACCACAAATATGGACCGTGCAGTCATGTGTCAAGCAGCCAAGAAATACAATGTCACAGAAAGGCAGGCTTACAGCCAGAGAAAATGTTTCCTTGTTTGTATACCTGACTGATTCGAGGAACTTGACAGGAAAGAGGGTGAGTATGTGACTGAAAAACAGAATGATTTAATGCCTTACTCAGCTGTAAGGAGAAAGTCTTAAAATCAGGGTCATCTTGTATATATAATTTAAGTAATACTGATATACTATATATATATATATATATATATATTCAATAATCATACTGATATACTATATATATATATATATATATATTCAATAATCATACTGATATATATAGATATATAATGTTCTACAAAATTAAGACATGATAAGTAGTGTCATACTCTGCCAGAGCCACTGGATCCTTTTGAAGACACTGTTCAATTGTTGTTAAAAACAAACACCAAGAACACAAAATGATGGCCAAACGGCACAGGCCAGATGTGTGCTAACTAAGCCCTTTAACCATATCCTCGGGCACTTAAAATTATTGTCAAAATCTCACTGTAACAGATGGATTACCCCATGGCACAAAGAATAATATCATTTTCTCTCTCAAAAGCTTTTATAAGACTATTAACAGGGTGAACTTTTGAACAGAGATCTGGTTCTGTGGGGTTTTCTGTGGCCAAATAAAGTAAAGGTGAAATTATTACGAGCCTGCCTGTGCTCCTGAGGGTCTCTTTAAATGCTAGCGCGCCTCATTTTCCAGGGGCTGTTTGAACCTTGCTCCTCTGGAGCACACAATGATGATTTTAAGAAGAGCTGAGGCAGCCATACCAAAAAAGCAAATTGAACACAATTTCCATAAGCTTCTATAAGCAGGAAAAAAATTAAAACATATCGCATCACATGAATGCTTACGTAAGGTTAAATTCACAAGGAGCATTTTTGAGACTTTGCATAAAACTAATTTATAGAGATCCAAAAGGTATTATTCTCCCTTCTCAAAAACATAAATTGTCATCCCAGGGATATCTCAGTGGCCTCTTCTATTTTTCTTACGTTAATAAGCTGAAATTAACCAAACGTACCGAGATATCTGTTGTCTTGTTGCAATCTTTATTAAAGCCATATTCATTTAGTTTTAATCTTGCTGGCTTACCTTCATGACACCAATGTCGTAAATTCCAATGAGCTGAGCTTTGGCTGCAACATGCAACTAAAAATACCTCAAGTAGACATAAGGCTGAAAAGGGGTTTTAAAATGATTCAGATCCAGACTATTTAACATTATTACCTTTATTACAGAAGAAGAAATACCCTGTCTGGGATTTAATGAAAACAGACAGGGACCATGTGAAACTAGAGCTGGTTGGAATGGCCTAAGACTTGTATCACAATTCAATTTCAAGCACAGGCGGTAACGATATATATCACAGTACATTTATTTTTCCAAAGTACTCTTACCCATATTACTTGGACATATTTCACATAGAACTGCATTTTAAGAACATTTATTCGACAAAAACAAAGTCATTTGAGGTGAGAAAAGATGCCTTGTATTACCACCCTTTGCAACTCTGCTTGTCATCTGACTTTTTAAACCTGAATGATATGTGTGTAATGAAAGTCAGTGTTGTGTATAAAAGTGCTAAAAGAGCAACACCAGGCGGAACTTAAGTTCCACTTTTACTTTCTGGCAGAGCTATTAAGTCAGAGCACTGCTGAAGAGAGAGCATAGCTGACTCAGAGGCAATTCAGAAAGTTATTATACCGTCTACCGTTATAGATCATCTTTTCCCAAGTTAAATCGGAACACCTGTGTGGACACTCTGCGTCCTAGCAGACAAAAATAAAGAGAAGAAAGGAATGTTCAGCTTGTGGTTTAACCACAACAACCACGAGCCAACAGCTGCAAAGTCCCTCCACCCAAATCAAACTTCCAGCATTTTGTAAAGTAGCTCACTTAAAAAAAACACACAAAAGAAATAAATGTAAACTAGTTCATTTTAATCTGTGTGAACCAAACTTTGTGTGTGAAGTTGCACAACACTGATGTGAGTTTTTTAAATTCCTCTTTGTTGTGTGCGTGCGGACTCTACCAGTCAGCATGGTTCAGTCAAAATTTATACCGTAGAGCCAATTCATACAGGTGTACTTTCTATGCCATTTATACTGTCCACGCCTATGTGAAACATTTTAGCATCACATTACCTAACACCAAAAGTACCCAGATATGGAACCTTATCGTGTTTTTCTCCAAATGCTTCTGTATCCCATCAGTCCCTTCTCATCCCTACTATAAACTGCAACCTCTGGAGAAGCATGAACAAGCTCCAAGCCTCCTACCTTTATGTTTAAAAAACCCTTTGTGGTTCTGACGATGACACACAGCACCACTTTAGCCCAGCACTGCTCCTTCCAAGTCACTGGACAACAATAATTACGTTATTTCCAGCATGCAGAATCCCAAGCTCTAGAAGGCTTTCAGGATGGAAAAATGAAAAGGCACCACAGGGGACGAGGGGGCAACACTCTATGATCCCTGATGTGAAACTGTTCGAGAAATTGCTTTTAACACCTTGCCCAGCACTCAGTAAAACTAATGACCTCCTACACCAGCATGGAGGAGACCTTTCCTATTAAATTATCCTTTCCACCTACTGTTTGTCATTTTCTGCATTTTTTCATGTCTTTCGTCCTCTCAAAATAGTACAATTCATATACAGTACACGAGTCATGCTAATCAAAAGGTACTGTATATGTCATTGAAATGAAAATAGTGTGTTCAAATTCTTCAGTGTGTAGGTAGTGAACTGCTGATAAATAAACAGAGGCTCTGGAAACCCACAAGCCTGACATTCAAAATGCAAATAATCAGAAAACATAAAAACTGCGGCTTTATTTTGGCACTACATGTTAATGTTCAACAGTACAACTTGACAGTTCAGAAACAAATAATCTCACTAAAATTAAACAAATATAAGGTTACCATTTTGTTAGAGTATCCTAAAAATCAAAGCTCTGTGGCTTTTACATAATAGATAATATACAAAATAGCCTCCAGTACGTATTTGCTGGCTTATAGTAAGTAATTAAATATATATTGAAATGTAAATGAGATAGAATTCCTTTTAACGTAACTTGAGTCAGCTGGGAATAACAATGGGTCACTGGGCATGAAAATAGTCCAGCACAGTGGATTCCAAATAGCACAAGACAACTAGAGTAGCCAAAAATGAATTTGATTTAGGAGGGGTAAAAGAGCCTCAAAACGATGGCTGGCCACCAGCCAAAGGGGCTGGACAAACCAAATGACAAATGCAAAAGCTGCGGCTAAAATTCACCAGCATTTGGCTCATGGCGGGCAGCAATTTCTGAGCCTGTTTAAGCAGTTACTAAAGCTTTTCAAACAGCCTGTGTGTTCTAGCTCATCAAGTTCAACCACGTCTGCCCGTGGGACAGTACGACAACACAGTGGCCAAGGTGATAACATTTCTGTTGTGCAAGAACTTAAACAATTGCACCCAATGGAGACACAAAAGGGTGAGAGTTTTCAGAGCTACCCCAGCTGAACAAAAGGGAAAGGGAAAAAAAGTAGTACTAGGAGGAACACCTGTGCTGACGTGTATCTAAAACAATCAGGGGAGTGTGTATCACTCTACACCCGCGGTTCTCAAAGTGTGGGGCACGCCCCACTGGTGGGGAATAGAGACGTGACAGGTGGGGTGCGCCAAACGGGAGAAATTTTCCTTTTTATGCCTTTATATCTTTATCCAGACATCCCAACTGTCCCGGAAGTTCCGGGAGTCTCCCGCATATTGATAGCGGCTCCTTGACGCCCGCAAATGAGATCCAATCTCCCGGAATCTGGAGCAAGACCGCGCACTAGACTAGAGAGTGACTGCGCGTGCGTGCGTGTGTGTGTGACTATAAATGCAGCGCGTGTGAGAGCAAACCGTCCTTATAGCTGTGTGTTGCCGCTTATTAGACCGATCACCCCCGGGGGCGACACCAAGTGTAACAGGAATTCCCCTCCCCACCCCCACCCCCGCAACAAACCTCCCTGAAATGACTTTTTGCAGGTTGGGATGTCTGCTTTATCAATGCCTTTCTTTAATGACAACAAAGATCATACATTCAAAACAAAACACCCACAAACAAAGTAATCATTACTAGCCTACATGCAGTCTAAATGAAAAGAACATTAGATATGAGACCCCGAGAAAAATGTAACCTGGAACCGAAGTGCCAAAATAATGATTGACGTGACGTTGGCATATTAATTGTAGCGGAACAAACTCTTTTTTTAACAGATTGCAAAGTGGCACTTTTGTTTATTTTCTATTTTTGAACTTGATACAAATTTTGACACAGCTGCACTTTTATTTTCTTTATTTTTGAACTTGCTGTTATGTGATGTAGATACTTTGTATTTAGATACAACTTGTTACTATACTGATTCTACTTGTTACTTCAATATATTGGAACATTTTAAGCTTGTTGCGTATTTCATTAGCACTGTGTTGGGGCGATGGGGGCAGGTGGGGCTTGAAAATTCCCCCTTGTCCAAAGTGGGGAATGACCGAAAAAGTTTGAGAACCACTGCGCTACACACACTGCAACACCCCTGGGTGTCACAGCAGACTGCTAAAGATGATGAGTGTCGGTGCACCTGCTTTCATGGACTAGAGGTAATATCAGTGTGTGACAAAACTTGGGTAAAGAACAAAACTAGAGTTACCAATATTTAAGAAATCTTGTTGCAAAAGTTTCTTCTCTTAATCTTTCATAACAAAAATCTTCTTTAGATGTGACAGACACCAGATATTCAACAAAAGAAAACCTGCTGTTGGACCTTACCTGTGTCTGTGCTCATCATGTCCTCCCTGTCCATGTATGACCACCTGTCCTGAAGCATGCTTCCCCTCTTTGGGCGAGTCAATATGAGGGATGAGCACATCTTCCAAGCCCAGATCAAAGCGCTTGTGCTTGGAATTGTCCGGGAGGAAGAAGAAGGCCCCGAAGCATAAGGTGATGAAGGCACTCAGAATGAGGAGGAGGATGAACTTCTCAGAGAGCCTCAACGTAGCCCTGTGGTGCGGGAAAGAGGAGGCGCCCGGCGACAGAGTGGGTATCCTGCGGCCCGACAGTGGCAGGAGAGCCGGTGTCGTCATGTTGTGACTGCTGAAATGAACTTAGCTTGGGGAGGAGTTGGAGGGGAGGGGGGGGGGGGCAGGTTTACAAGTGCCACAGATGTTGTTGTAGCAGCATGCACGAGCTGGTTGACTTTATTATCTCATCCCTGCGTTGATAAGTCCAGAAAGCAAAAAGGGCAGAGGTCCCTCAGTGAAGGAGTGACTGCTCAGCAGGAAAATGGTCATGACGATTCTGAAAAAAAAGGGACATTACAGACATAGAGTTAGCGTTGTACACAGAGTTGTCTGTCCCTTTTACAGCGTAGTTACCAGAGATGTGCCACCATTTTAGAAAAATCGAGATTTTTTTCATCCCTTCATTTTAACTGCTCTACCTCAACAGTGAGTATACTCTGGAAGGACAGATGAGCTGATAGCCTGCATAGTCTTTCCTTTAGTCGTCATTTCTCCACCCTGGCAGCATGTCCCTTGCAACCACCAGCATCATCTTGTCAAGTACTCTGAAGGGCTTCTACTGAGCCTAGCCGCTCTGAATTACGATCAAACACATGGTGACAAGTCAAGAAACTTGTATGTCATAAATCAAGTGATAGCTGGAATAGCAGAGTAATAAACAATCCTATCACATGCTGTGGTACATTTAACAACATGCCATCTCAAAAATAAATACCTCAGAATCTCTCTCTCTCTCTCTCTCTCTCACACACACACACACACACACACACACACACACACACACAAAACACTTAATCCTTTGGCCATGAGAAAAATGACAAACAGATTTTCCAGAGGCTTAAGGCATCAAGAGGCTGTGCAATACCTGTGAGACCATCACCAAACTGCCCTCTGAGTCTGCGCATACCTGCACCTCTGCCAGGACTAACATAGCAAAATGAACAGCAGCCTTCTGTTTTTATGAGGTCTTATTGTGTTGCAGTGGCGTATAGGCTGCTGTCAGACCTATATCGTAATAAAATGTCAAACAGAGACAGAGACGAAGAGCAAGATCAGCCTACATGCAAATCCTCTTGATATTCGTATCCATCGGAGTCGACCGGAATGATAATTCGCAGTCGTGTGGCGACCCTTTGCAAGAGGGGCAGGACATGCAAGCTAAACACCCTGCATGCGTGTATCCAGTGTTGTATCACACCTGAACTTCAACCCTTATAGCAAAAACCCGACACAGTCTCCCACCCAGCCCCCCCGATCCCCGATGTAGGAAGAAGACGTGGAGCAAATGTTCAATTCAAAGTGTTAATGTTAATGTGAAAGGAGATGGAAATCAAGCGAGTTGCCCCTTTAAACACGAACATAAGCGGTCCCATTAATGTTGACACAAATGTTTAACCGAGGCCAGTTATTCTATCCAGTAGTTTTCCGTCGGGTCTGCATAGAGGTACGATGTCTCGGCGTCTTCACACAGAATACCAAGTTCATGCTGTGACAGTGCCAGTCTGTGCGAGCCGATCAGCCGACACAAAATGCTAGCTAACGAGCGACCGAGCGGCTAACTTATCAGGCTAACGTCGGCTAGCAGGAAAAACGAACAGCGGTTAAAAAAAAAAACAGCCAGACAGCCGAAGAAGACCCGTGGTTAGAAAATAACCGTATTCCGACATACGCGTTTGGGCTCACTGATGTTTTAGCTACCCGTGAATGTTAAAGGCTGAGCTTTGAAATATGTAGCCGGTGGCGCTAGCTATTTGGCTAGGTTGCTACGGCTAGCTAGCTGGTGATCCACTGACAGAGGCGGTGTGTTGTGTGGACGCCGCTGTGCTGCATCACCACCTTTCTCATTTGCTCGGTGAAAATCGATGCCAGTCAGGATTCCCGGTCCGCCTTTTGGAAGAAGTCGCTGTAGCGGGTGTCCTCATGTCCACGAATGTTACACGGTGGTAACCCGCAGTGGTGGCACCGTTCACCGTCAGTTCAGAGCCACATAGCGGTACAGCTCCGCGGACGCTGAGGGGATGTTGATGACTGGCCGCTCTGTCGGACTGCAGCGACGGACTGACTGACTGACTGAGCCGCTGCTGCTGCTGCTGCCGCTGCTCGGCGATCCAGCATCAGCTACTCAGCCTGCCCGAGTTAGGGACTGTCTGACAATTTCGTTAAGCAGGATAACTGTATAATATGATTTACGTTAAAAACGTAGCTGCTGTTGGACCAAGTGTACTTCTCCTTGAAGCTGTGATAGTATATTGCAATGTGGGAAGGCAGCTGCGCCATGCGTAATTTTATTAAATGTACTCAAATGATGTACCCCTACCCTATTCAGTTTTGTAAAATCCCAAACATAGGTTTTGTGGAAATTATTCACTGATATAAATATAAAAAATATTCAGATATAGACTTAATATATAATTAATAAATGTAGGGAAAATAATAATACTCAGTTACAAGTAAAAGTCCTGCATTCAGAATTACACAAATATTAAAAGCACTAATTATACAGCAGAGTGACCCCTGCCAACATTACATTAGTATAATATATTAATATACAATATTGTTCTGTTCTAGTAGGTAAAACTGAAGATAGTAAAATACTCCAGTACAGCTCAGTTACCTCCACCACCAGCTCCTTGGTTTTCCCTGTGTTGAGCTGTAGGGGGTTTCTGTCGCACCATCCCATGAAGTTCTCGATCAGGTCTCTGTACTCGTCCTCCCTATCATCTGTGATACAGCCGACAATGGAGGAGTCACCCGAGAACTTCTGTAGATGGCACGCTCCGGAGTTGGTGCAGAAGTCAGAGGTGTAGAGAGTGAACAGGAACGGTGACAGTACAGTTCCTAGGGGTGCGCCAGTGCTGCTCATCACCACGTCTGACAAGCAGCTGTGCAGTCTGACATATTGTGGTCTGTTGGTGAAGTAGTCAGTGATCCCGGCCACAAAGTCCTGATCCACCTGCACCACAGAGAGCTTCCCTGCCAGCCGGAGAGGCTGGATGGTGTCTAAAGCGCTGGAGAAGTCGAAGAACATAATCCTCACAGTGCTCTGTGGAGCAGATGACATGCAATGTGCCAGTTAATATTCATTTTCATACTGACCAAAATGAGTAACAACTGCATGAAAAGAATCTGGACATGGCAGTGACCTTTGAGCTCGTGAAAAAAGAAATCTCAATCTTCTTCTGATAAATTTTGGCAGTATGGCATCACATTGCCAGGAAAAGAATAGCTTAGATTAACTGTAGACACATCCTGGTAACTCTTCTCACTTCAGTTGTGAATCCTCCCTGACAGTCACGACAGCTTGAAGACTGAAATCAGGTGTAATCAAATGAACCAGACACTCATTTTCAAGTTCAAGTAAACAGAAGTTGTTTTTCTCATAATAAATTATATTGTTATCTCAAGAAAAAGGTGGTTTAGACCACAAGATAAATGAATTCGAGACATTAAAAAAATAATTGCAAGCGTGACTTCTGTACTGGAGTGCCCCTTGAAGTTCTAAGTTATTCCATTTCTAAGAATCAGTATTTAAGCCAAAAATAAGCATAGGTACTTGTCCTTGGATCTACTTACTGTGTTTTCACATGAGCAGAGAGCAAAGGTAGGAACAGTTTTTCAAGTAGAGCCTCAATAAATAATGTTAACACAGTGTTTCCTTCTTGTTTAAAGAGGACAATTCCACCATTACATACAAGATACACAGTAAGTGAGGATTTAACCAGCATGTTGGAGTGGAAGTAATGCATATATACAGCGTACAGTTTCACTACAGACATACCTGCTGACAGTGGTCTTGAGACTTACATTAAATATAACCTTTAAACAAAACAATTATAATCAGACAAATAACTGGATTGACAAAAAGAGAGAAATCTAGTTTAGGTTTTGTTCTGGCAGCTCCATGCAGCAGCACACTATTCACTACACACTGCCTGGATTTATACATCATAAACAATTGAATAATCTTATCAAACGCACTCTCCTTTATCAAATGGTGCATGAGCTATGTTGCCAGGAAGGATACAGTTTATCATATTAGTCCCCTGGTGTATGCCGAGAACTTTCCTTCCTTTTCTGGCCCTGGCAGTGTGCGCTCTGTCTTCTTTTTCAGTAGAGAGACACTGTAGCTGAACATGAGACAGGTGTCGCTTTGCTTTCAGGAGCCTTTATTCCACTCTCGGGGCAGTTTTCTCTTTGCTCTGGCCAAAAACACACTCCAAGCCAAGAGCTCGCTCTGTGCTCTCTGCAACTGAAGGGTGTAATTTGTTAGAAACCTCAGTGATGACAATCACTGCACACACTCCTGCTGCAGTATAGCTGGCTTTCCTGTGGTGTGACTTGGGTGAGGGCCACAAACTTGGCTGAACCACAAACTCTCAAAGACGTGCCACTGACAAAGGTGACCATGATTTGCTCCACTGGGGCAAGTCCTTAGAGCACTGAACTTCAGCCTCTAACTCAGCCAGAAAAGAGTAGAGTACAAGGCGAACCACATAAACATACAACCCACCATCTCAACATAAGTACATGTTATACAGAAATGGATGATTGAAAGCATAAGAAGCTCTGTAGGCCTTAAGCAGAGTTACAGTAAGTGGGTGTGCAAAAAGTTGTTGTAGCACCACTGTGATAATGTCTGAACAGTTTTGAAAGAAACTGTTTGTTTGGTAGGGAGTAATTCTAGTCCAAACTGTGGATCACAGTGGAACTGTGGACTGTGGATTATCCAGAGTAGCTGTTTCAGGAAATATATGTTGCCACTGAATATTGCTGCCATGCTAGCATCGTGGCCCTAGGAACAGCATTGTCGGTCAGTTTGGTAAGTATTTTGGATGGATTGTCATGAATTATTATTATTTTCCATGCTTTTTATGCCTTGATGGTGACAGTTGAAGATAGACAGAATTGTGGGGAGAGGGAGAGAGCAGATGACAGCAAAGGGTTGTGGGTCATAATCGAACCAGGGCCACTCTGGTAAGGACTCTGCTTACGCCACCCTATCAGTACTTTTGATAGAGCCATGGTGTCCAGAGGATAATTCATAAAACTTTGGTGCTAATTAACTAATCTTAGCAACCTAATAGTATCATGATGATGTTACCGTCTAGCGGGGTCATTCCTATTGAATTGAATCTTGAATCTTGAATCTATGTTCCCAGGGTCCTGTGTTCCCCAGTTCTAGGGTTAGAGTGTTAGAGAACATAGAACCATGTGAACATAGATACGCTCCCCATCTAGCTCAAACCACCACTGCTGTACACAGGTGCAGTCTAATACAGCCACTAGCATGGCTGTAGAATCTTGGACTTGTTTAAATGTCATTGTTCAATACTGCGAGGACCACAGTACCTCACAATCAATCTTAACAAATGAGACCAGCTCATGACACCACTCCACAGCCGCTGACTTCACCAGCAGGGCCCTGTGTGTGAAAAGGAGGATTGTATTTCTTATCCCTTTGTCTTTCATTGTGAACGCTCCATATTGAAGTAGAGCTTAGCAGGCAGTTAGTCTGCACTGTGACACTGTCAGCCCACATACCAAAGTGAGCTTTTCTCTGACAGGTAATCTATCCGTGGACAAAGTTCACACCGTGAAGACAGTCCCAGCGTTTTGCTGAGTGTGGAGACAGCCAACCGCTGAGTCCATCAGCTGGTCCTTGAGCTGCCACCGGCTTCAGACTCGTACTGAGACCAGGGGCCACTGGGACCTCTGATTTACAGGACACCCCTCAGTGAGTGAATTAGTGGCCGTGCAGTGTCGTAATCATTGTGAAGTCCTCCCCTTGGAGAGGCATCACCATGAGTCACCCACAACGGCCGGTTGGGTTTGACGCCAGTGTCGGTGTGGGTGCAAGGAGACACACACAAAAACCCAAAAGAGCTGAGCAGACACAAAAAGCTGACAGTTTCCAAATCACAGCCAAGTTGCAGAGAAGGGAGGGTGTGTGGTAGTGAGAGAAGGGAGGGTGTCCTTTGCTTCAATGCATCTTTGATTATCATTGTCAGAGGGATGGATTGCCGGACTGGGAAGGATTTATCACATATTTCACACCCACAAAGAACAATGCTGCAAAGACAAAACATTCATTCTATGTAGAAAGGAACTAGATTAAGCAGAAAACAAAACAAAAGGAACACAAAATGGCTACGGGAGGCATTGGCTTGACATGAGATTGCTTTTCAGCTGGTAAACAGCACCAGAAGCCGCCTGTCCTTCGGATCCTTGTTTGACGGGATGAACTGGTGAATTATTACTATTTCAACCCTGTGAATGATGAGCTGCACCAGAGCACCTGAGCCAACCCGTCTGTCAGTGCCCGGCAAGGTCAACCACAAACTCGGGCTCTAGTGGACAGCGTGTATGTGTGTGTCTATACAGGAAATGTGTGTGTGTGTGTGTGAAGTGTCAATCCCACGCTCTAGTAGCGATAACTGCATATATAGTGCTGAGAAGGGGCTCTACGACACACTCTTGATTTTTGACATTCCAGTTAATGGTGCGACGCGGCGCCTTCCCACACTGCCAAGAACAGTGATCATGAGTCCCTCCAGAAAGTGTGGCATGATGGGTAGACAAACATAGCTCTGTCTATACACTGCTGTGTAAAGCACGTTTTCTTTATGCTATAGTGTATGGATACTTATCTATCTAACAAATGGTACTGAAGGATGGTGATCCTGGCTCGGTCACTGTGGGACAGATTATACCAAACCTCCATTCTAAATTTGGCTGTAGCGCCATGGAAATGGGGGACTGGCAAGAGGGAGATTAGCTGGAGCAGGAGTTTGAGTTTACAGCCGTGAAT